CTGTTCTGGGCCCCTCCCAGCAGCTCTGCATCTTGGTTATTCCCAGGGACTTCCTGCCACCTGGGGAGTCTGGCCTTGAGATACATGTCTCCACTTCCCCCATCTTAGTGTCCCAGCTTCTCCCAGTTCTGCTCCACATTCTGATTCCTCTGAAGTCCAGCCAGCAGTTCTTGAGAACAAGCACCCAAAGCAGGCAAGGTTCTCACCCCCAACAGGTCCTGGAATCCCTTCCTGGCCAGATCATAGCTTAAAACTATTCCCTTCCATTCGTGTGTGGGAGAGGAGAAAGCAGGAAGGTACTGCCTTGGTGTAGCAGAGCATGTGTCTTACTGCATCCCACAATCTGCTCCAAATTCCATTCATGGCGGACAAAGCCATCTGCATGCGTCAGTTTGCCCATGCACACCAGTTCCTGAAAAGCATGGGCTCGAGGGGGCATCGCACTTCTGTCCTCCTCATGGGTCTCCCACACGGACAGCAGTGAGCAAAAAGCTGGACTAGATGGACCCTGGCTCTGACCCAGCCCTTTTTCTTTAGATGATGCCCTCGTGGCTTGCCAGTTGCCCCCCAAAAGCTCATCAGAAAGAGCCATTCCGCCATGCTTTGTCTCCAGGCCTGGGGAACCAGAAGACTTCCGCTGTTCTTCATGTAGGCTCAGTTTGGCTGGCCTGGCCATGGGGCTGAAGCCAGCCCTTTGGGGGTGGGGTGACTGCCCTGCAGAAGGCCTCCCCGTTCATTTCTCCCTTGTCCAGGGTTCTTCAAGCCTGGCCGCCATCTTAAAGTCCTGAGATGTTCTTCATGGAGTGTCACTCTGCTGTCTTCTGGGAAAACAACATGGCGACCCTGAGACAGCCAACCCAACGTGGCCACCGCCAGGGCACATGGAAAAAAGAACAGACCCGGCATGTGCTCTGACCACTCCACTTCCATGCTGGAAATAGTCCTGATGAATGAGATAGTGTCCAGACGTATCTTTTTCAAATGACTCTGGTCTTTTACAAGCCCTCAGAGCTTTTCAAAAAGGCTATAAATCTCCATCTTTAAAAACAAAAAAACAACCTCTATTAAAGCTGCCAGCACATCCTTGTCCCTTGAGATCATTATGAGGTGTGTGGAGAAAAAGAGGTTTCCTTGAAGAGATGTTGCTGGGTGTGTGGCAGAGATCGGCATAACATCTGCATATGTGATCCTATATCTCTATATGCAAATCTAGAAATAATTATGAGAATGTATTGACATGTCCTGGGACACAAGCTGGCCAATTAATTTATCTTCTGAATCCCCTTAAAATCAAATAAATGATTCAGTTAATTTGCCCCCTGTTCCAGAAAATCCCAAACCACTGGAAAAAATTATTCCCCATCTCCCAAAAAAATTACCATAATTGCCAAGCAGAAGAAGGACTTCTTGGGGGAGGGGCTGCAGCACACAGGGAGGGAATTATTAACCATTTCCTCCCCAGCTTCAATCACCCTTGAAAATTTGTGGCAATTTTGAGCACAATCCGATGCACGTTTAGACAGAAAAAAGTCCTACAGGTGCCTACATTCCCCAGCCAGCCTTTGGGGAAAGTCATGAGACTTTTTTTCTGTCTAAACATGCCTAAGAGTATGTCTTCATGATTCAACTGAAGGGGAAAATCCACTAGTGCTCAAATCAGGGCGCTGTGGAATGGATTAGGGTGTTATGATTTAGATTCAAGGTTGGGGTCCCATGAACCCATGCCTAGAAGCACCCCTTGTCCATAAAAAGGAGGTGGAGTGAGTTGTGTAGCCACTGGGGGAAATCTGATAGAAACATAGAAACAGAGCAAGTCAGAAGGGGCCTCCTGGGCCATCTAGTCTGACCCTTGGCTCCAGTCGGCTCCACTCATGACATGCCCACCATGTGCATGTCCAGCCTATCCTTGAACACCCTCACCAATGAGGGTGATGAACTAGCCCAGTGCCACAGGGAGATGAGATTTCTCTGGCGGCCTCGGGGGGCCCCCTTCTTTAAGTGGAAAAACTGTCTAGAAATATTGAAATTCATTGGAGAGCATTCCCAATCTGTCAAAGGCATTTGAAGGAAAGATGGGGCATGTCCCACATCACCAGCAGGGTAGCTCCTCACACATCTGTGGAGGCACAGAAGCCCAGGCAGAGGTGGGGGCTGAAACAGGGTTTCCTAGGCCAGCTTTGATTCTGTTCCCTTCAAGGTCTCTTTGGATGCATCCAGATCAGACTCCCTAATTAAAGTTTAAGACTGATTGTTGATTAAACGTGTAACCATCATGCTTTCCCTGAGACAATAGCAGCTACAGAAATAGTCATGGGGAAGATTAAAATCCTTGACCCTAGAACATGGTCTCAATTCAAATCAGACCCCCTGCCCACCCCACTCAGCAGCTGCTTTTAGCAGAAGCTTAGAGAGGCAGCCTTGACTCCTCGTTGTCTCATCTAGTTTAGCTTGGCAGGCAGATTTCTTTTGTGGCTTCTTTTGGGAAAATTTGGATAAATCCTGTCTGAAAAGCTTTACTCCTGTGTGCCTTTGCACTGTGGGATCAAATCCTGCCTTCCTTCTCAAAACCAAGCAGTCACTGTTTAAAACGGCCTTCCTCCCCTGCTCCTTTCTCTCACCTTTAGCTGTGGGCTACAGCAGACAGGCCATTCAGTCCAAATATACATTGTAAATAGTCATTGTTGGAATTCAAGGAAGTATCTTCCTAGCCCAGAGGCTCCATGCGCCCTGGCCAATTCAGCATGTCTAGAGTAGAGTCTTGAGTTCATGCATAGTTTCAGTAGCTTGAGTTCACATGTCTAAGCAGACCTGGAGATGGATTCAAGCTACAGAACTAAAGTGTCAATACAGGCAATTAGAAATATTGTAGTCTCATTGTTACTGTGTGATTGACTGACATTTCTTTATCTGTTCTGTATGTGATGACCTCAGAATCTTATTGTATTCTCTGCATTCTGTCATCAATTGCCCTGTACCTGTGTACCTGTGCCCTGTAATGGTATTGAAGCTTTGCAGCAGATTTCACCTCTGCCTGCCTGGTAATGCATGCATTATCCTGAGTACCGCGGGAACCTTGGGGGTAAAACAATAAAGCCTCAGATGGTCTGGCCGCTTGGTCTTTCCCACAAACCCGAGTTTTAGTCCCTCTTCTCAAATTGAGATTCCGGGATTCTGACACTTCTAAGGTCCCGATGTTTCAAAGATACATGGACACACAGCTAAAAACTTCAGCTTGGGTTTATTCTTCAAATAAAAGCACAAGGCTTGTTTGACAGAAGGAAGCTAATCCAAACAGTCGTATATTTCACATATTTAAATACTGTCAGTCGAAAATGCTGTCTTGTTGGTCTGCAACATATTTTCCTAACCCTGTTGTTACCATGAGATTTGTAGGACGCAGTGTGGTCTTAAAACAAGATGCAATAAAACGGGGCAGAAGCTTCATCAAGGGTGGGAAGGCTACCCGATTTCTTCCCATTGCCATAAATATCTCACATACGCCAAAACTAGATTAATGCCAGAGAAGACTTGTTGCTACATCCAATATACAGATAAACAGTGCTAGAGTTTGCATAAGACCTTTGATGTATGTGGGTCACAGAGTGTTAATTTGCGGGGACATGTTTATAGGAGGAGCAGATGAGGTGATGCTGTTGCCATCCGAAATTTCTGTAAGACTGAGCTCGGCCAGCTTTTCCTGATGCCTGAACAGCAGCTGGGAGGCTACAGAGGTGGTCACAATGCAGAGGAGCCAGTTGAAAAGGAATAAAGACAGCCAGGAACATCTCGTTGATGGACCAAGAAATTCAGGTTCTTCTGGACTAGCTTAGCATAGATGCTCCAAATATACTTGGAAACTCTGATGGCCCTTTCCAACCCAAAAAGACAATTTTAGTGCAAAATCTCTAGCAGGTTGGGAAGCGCTTTACTTGGTGAGGTTCTGGCAGCCCAGAAGCTGGAGATCTGAGGATCGCGACCGGTGAGGGTCAAACCCTCATGGAGCCCACGTAACAGGCAATGTTTGTTGATACACCCCTTTATCTTGTTGGGTAATGCTTTCTTTGAGAGGGCTACTTCAGCCTTCCCCCACCCTTGTGCCCAACAGATGTGTTCGGAGGCTGGGAATGATGGGAGCTGTAGTACAAACACATTTGGCAAATGCTGGGTTGGGAAAGGCCAGTGTATATCCGTTCCTGTATATGAGAAACTTCAGGTATGCCGGGGCGAAGGACTTTCAGGTGGGGGCACAGCAGCCAGTGGGCAGCACAGATAGGAGAAAGGGCAGTCAAGGATCAGGTAAGCGGCAGCAATCAGGTGACAAGACATTTCCGTAACAGGGAGCCTGGATTATGGGCAGAAGGAAAAGCTACAGACCTTGAGCTGCTCCAGCGTGTTGCTGCAGGCGAGGCTGGTTGGCGAATGAGCCCTTATATACTGGGGGCAGGACCACTGGCTGCCAAAGCCCTGCCCACTGAGCTGAAGAAGCAAGGGGCTTAAAGGGGCAGTGCTCTAAATCCTCAACCGGAGATGTCAGGAACACCTGGAGAGGCTTGGCGAATTGGTGGGCTGACCCGGAATGCCGCCATCAGCACGATGGCATCTTTGGACAGCTGTCAGGGTCCCAGCAGGACCCATGATTGGTGCTGAGGCTCTGGTGGGCTCTTTTAACTGATGCTCCAGCCTGAATGTCAACCAGGAGCTGCCATTTAAATTTTCCATATTGGCCTAACACATTGTCACTATGAGAAACGGGATCAGCAGCTCATCAGAGCACGGCTGCCAGCTGCCCTGCTGGGCTGGCCCTGTGTCCTCTTTTGCAGGGCGGACTCTTCTCTTTGAAGGGCCATTCTGTGCAAGAGGTGCATGAAGGTAAAGAACCAAAGGTACTCTTCCCCACTCACAGTTCATGCCTGGAGAACAACCTGAACATGAGATGCATTTCTCTTTAAATTAAAACAATCCTTTCTAAATTTGCACCGATACATACGAACAGGCAAATATTATGCAAATGGACATCCTCTTTATTTTCCACTCTCTGGTAAACATGACCAGACCCAGGAACATGACACAATCAGGGGGGCATATTGCCCAGGCACTCCTCAACTGCAGAGCGGGCCGTGCACCCCAGCCCCCAAACCACCAGTCCTGGGCTCAGAAGCTGGGCACCTCTCCTCCTCCGGTTCCTCCATCTTCCAGAGGTTCCTCCTCAGGGCACGTCTCGGGTGACGTGCCCTGGAGCTTCTAGAGTTAATGCTTCCGCCAAGGTCACTCTTGGGAGCCAAGCCAGGACAACAGGTGAGCACACATCACAGGTTATTAGAAAGACAAAGGGGGCACTGATACAAAGGCCTCCAAGACCACACCTCCTCGACCCCCCCCTTTCTCCCCGATCTGATCAGCACTGTGGGTGAGCAGCAGGACCTACCAAGGACAAGCTTTTAGAAGGAAATGTACAACATCGAATAGGCTTTCCAGAAATGCAATCCTACGTGGAGAGAAAGTTGGGGAGGGAGGGAGGCAGGGCAGGGCAGGGCAGGGGGCAGCCGGCGAGGAAGGCTGGCTTCAGGCACAGGTGGCTTCTTGGCTGTCCAAAGGTAGCTCGTTTCCATAGCTAATTTCTCCGTACTGGTGGTAAGGCGGAATCTGTGGTGCTTCAATGATCAGGAGCCCCTCTGGGGACAAGGATGCGAAGACCGTGGTGGGATCCACCTCTCCGGGGAGCCTAGGGGAGGGGGAGCGGGAGGGGATAAAATGGGGCATTTTGTGAGACCGGCACAATGATCCCCCTTCCTCCCCACCCAGTGGAGCAAAGCAAAATAGCTGCCTCTCCAGCATCTGCTCCTGTGACCAGAGGTTGGCCGTCTGTCCTACTCCCATTCTTGATCCCCCGTCTACACCGGTTTGCTTCTTAACTATATTTAACGGTTGGCTTTTCTTAGTTGGTAGCGTGTTACATAAACCCCCTGGGAAGCATATGTGCAGGATATATATACAGTCTCCCCACACCCAAAAAAAAGTCTATGTTGCAAACACACTTGTTTAAAATGACTTCATTTGAAGGAAACCCAGGGAATGGGCTACGATTCATCTTTGCCTGCGCAGGCATTTTCAGTTTTCCACGGGGCCAGTGGAGAAAAATCTCAGCATGGCTCAAAGGGCTACTCCTGGATATATCCAAGATAAAAGTGGCCCAAGCCAACCCCAGTTTTAGGAGCATTTCTTGAAGCCGTTCTTGCCTCCGCAGCACTTTTGAGAGCAAAGGAAGTGGAGGGGTGGGAGTCTTCACATGTGTGCCTAGTGCATAAAATCACGTCACAACGGACACTCGAGACCATTTCAGACATTGGGTTTCTTTGTGTATATGCCTAGGATTTCGTGAGTGTCCTCCAGAATGTTTTAAAACATCAAAACAGCGAAGGCAGGAAATGACTGACATGAAGCTGAGATTTGCTACAGTGCCCTCTCAAATGCACAAGAATTTCCTAGCTCAAGAAGCCAAGCAATCCCTGGTGGAGAATAGGATGAAATCTCATACAGCGTGATGTGGGAGGAAGAAACAGATCCCCACCACCCCACCCCTCATTGTCTCCCGGTGAGGAGGGAATTTGGATTGTCGAGCATCAACAAACTGAAAGCCACTCAGTAGGTTTCATAATGAAGCAATGATTTGGACTCGGATCATCCACCTCCAAAGTGGACACCCTTTACTATAAAACCAGGCAAGACTCTTGTGGCAAATGACAGACAGTGTGATTCTATACATGTCTACTCAAAAGCGCTCCCCTTTGTGTTCAGTGAGATTTACTCCTAGGTATAGAAAGAGTGGGGAATCTCAAGCCCAGGGCAAAGTCTAGAGTACCCCTGAAGGCCATAACTCCTTTTTATTTTTATGTATTTTTCATAATCATATCTCACACATTCTCCTTTGAAACATAATTCTCCTCCTTCCCCTCTCAATCTTAATGATCATTGCTATTGTATTGGATAATGTTTAATGTAATATAAAATAATGATGTATTTTAATTGTATTTTGATGTATATTACAGTGTGTTTCAATCTCCCTGTAAACTGCTTAGAGATACTTTTTATATCTAGTAAGCAGTATATATATCTGTTTGATCTCTTATCCCCACCACAACAACCCTGTGAGGTAGGTTGGGCTGAGAGGCTGTGACTGGCCCAAAGTCATCCAGTTGGCTCCATGGTTGAGTGGAGCACCTTCCCTTTGGCCCCCTTTCTCCCAAATATGCAGTTGCTGCTGGGTTGCAGGTTTTCCCTGCTCTAAGAGGTGCAAGTCTATTTCCTAAGGCTCAGCTACTGGCAGTAAGAGCTTTAAGCACCAATATTTCAGCATTTTTTTTGGTATTTTTCGGCTGCACCCCATTGACACTGGTTCTGCTGGAACAGGCCCCCAAGCAATTCTGCAAAATGGCATTAATCCAAGTTTCCCTTCTGCATGCAAAATTTCAGCCTCAATTTGTTGGTCTTTAAAGGGCAAGAAATACAATTCTTGGGACACCCTCTGTGGAATGTGACCCTCTCAATGTGGCGTCACATTGACTCTGGTCTAATGATTAAGGAAGCATTCCTGACAACTGATTGGGTTATTTTGGCATCAAGCATTTGAACTAAGGAGGGGCGTTCTGGACTCTCTCCCTTTCTGAAGAAAAGCCCGGGGACTCCTCGTCTTGTAAAGCAGGCCTTGCGTTAAATCTGTGTCAACTCTTCCAGCAAGCCGGTTTGGCTGGCTGCCTTTCTGATGTTACCCAGCTTAAATTCATCCTCAGTACATCAAGTAAATATTGGCATTGCTGCAGCAAAGGTACAAGTCCAAATAAGGAATTTTTGGGAGACGCAGGAGATCGCCGAAGCGGCCTGGCCTCCTTCGCAGGCTGCCTGCTTCATGCGGAGAGGATGCATATCCTTGGAGGATGTAGACCCCTACCCCATGGCTGCCCCCCGCCCATCTTGCCACTGGGATTGCTCCCACGCTTGCACGGCTCTTCCACCTCCCCAGAGGGAAATTCTGAGCTGTGCTTGGCTGCAGGAATAGACAATACTTGTAACTGATAAACATATCGAGCTTGCAAAGCAAGACAATTTCCCAAGCGTGTGGAAACCACTCCCTAATTTTGGGGTGCCCCTCTTTCCTCTTGCATCAAATTATCGCACTTAAAATCGACAGAGTGGGGGACATTTGTAACAGTGCAGCTTCAGGGGGCCAGGACAGACTAGAAGTAGGGGTGGAGTGGGCAACCATGGGCAATCTATGGAACGCGCTCCCCAGAGAGGTCCGCCTGGCGCTGTCGTTATTTGTTTTTCAGCGCCAGGCCAAGACCTTTTTATTTAAGCGTCATTTTAATTGTTAACAATATCTGCTTATTTATCTGGCCAGGGCGACTTCTTTTATATTGTTATTTATTATTGTTAATTTTATATTGTTATTCTTGTATTTTACTGTATTTTATTTTGTGTTGTGAGCTGCCCCGAGGCTTCGGCAAGGGGCGGCATAGAAACGTTTTAATAAATAAATAAATAAATAAAAAACCCAATGCCTCTCCCAGTATTGGACTGCAACTCCTATCATCCTTGGCCACTCCCTTTGCTGGCTGGCTCTGCTGGTGCTTTTGGCTTCCCCGAACCTGAGGTAAGGCTGATCGGTGCCATGCAAGTCACACCAGCCTGCTTGCAACAGCTGAAAAAAACCCATCAGCCCGTGACTGTTTGGAACCTGTGCCAACCTTTGGTCCCCTTTGCACAAACAAATCCCACCCTGAAAAGAATACGTCTCCGAGCCCTGCAGCCCGCTGGATTAAAAAAGATGAGGGCAGAGAAATTTCTGGAGCATGAGTCTGTCACTTGAAGGTAAACAATGAGGGCTTGGGAGCAGGATGACAGCATGGAATCCGAAATAGATTTTAAACGCACGAAGATGAGTCACTTTCTCTAGGGGTAACTCTGGGGCTGAGCACAAAGCCCTTCCCTCTCACCCACCTGCTTTCTCCCCCAGGCAAATCCCGAACAAGCCAGGCACAGGTGGAGAAAAGCCAGCGTGGAAGACCTATGTGGCAGCTGCAGGTGCTTATGGCAAGGAGCTGCTCTCCGCCTTGGTTTTTCATGGGAGACATCTGCCCCTGCAGGCTTACTAATTTCCAAAATCTTCCTTCTGAAGTCTACAGGCTTCCCCAGTCTGGCCCCCTTCAGATGTTTTGAACTATTTATTTAACACTCTTTTAGACTGTCCCCTACCGTAGTCTCGGGACGGCTTAAGAATAAGACAAAATAAAATAAAACACAGCATCCTAATCGAAGTCTTAACCAATCAACTATAAATCCCATATTAAACAGTCAAACCTTAAAACATCGGGAAAATAAAAAGATTTTAGCCTGGTGCTGAAAAAAATAAAGTGACAGCGCCAGACAAACCTTTCTGGGGAGCGTATTCCACAACTGGGGCACCACCACAGAGAAGGCCCTTCTCTGGTTAGTTACCCTCCTAATCTCCTTCAAGGAGGGCTCCCGGAGAAGGGCCTTTGCCCCAGTCCTTAAGGGGCAGGCAGGCACATAGGGAAGGAGATGCTCCTTCAGGTAACCAGGCCTAAGCTGGTTAGGGCTTTATAGGTCATCACCAGCACCTTAAATTGGGCCCAGACTTCAACTGGTAGCCAGTGAAGGTGGTAAAGGACCGGCATTATATGTTCATACCTGCTGGTTCCAGTTCACAACCTGGCAGCTCTATTCTGAACCAATTGAAGTATCACCTGAAGTACCAACTACAATTCTCAATTTTTCCCAGATCACTGGCTATGCTAGCTAGCTGGAAGTCCAAAGCTGATGAGATCTGGAAGTCCAAAGCTCCTTCAGGGCAGGGAAAGCTGCTCTAGACAATCTTGGGGAATGTTGTTTGTGGGATATGTACAGAGGGATCTTTAAAAGAAAGCCTTAGTGTCTGCACCAAAAAGAATTCCCAGGACGGTGGGATGGTGGCACTGGGGAGCCATGGCCATTAAAGGAATATAGTGGTGTAAATTAGTAGAGCAGACCCCCCTCTAGCTTATCTTCACAACACACCATGTTCCCAACAGCCCCTGGGGAAAAGCGTAACACACACATCATGTGGAGACCCTCCTGTGGCTCAGGGCCGTGCCGAGCCGAGCCGGAGAAGCTCCCAAGTGGTCACTGTTTGCAATTCAGTGACAGCCACACAGCGGAGCTTCTCTGTCCCCTTCCTTTTTTAATCCCGGGGCTGGAAGGCTCAGAAGACAGGGGGACTTTTTTGCACAAGCTTTAGCCCAGATTCCGAAAGTGGCGCAAGAGTTGGGGTTCAGGGGTGACTGACCCCACAAGGTCACCCTCTGCACAACTCGGGGACTGGAACTGAGGATAGGATGGGGAGAAACGCGAAGGCACAGACAATGAGCAATCAACAGGAAAAGCATGAACGACAGAAGCTCTTGTTACCCTCCCTCCAGTCAGATCCTCCATTGCTGCATGAACCATTCAGTCGAAGGCTCTGCCTCCTCAAAGCCTGAGAAATACTATATGGGGAGATAACAGTTTTCACGTGCTGCTTGGGGGAAAGCAGAGGAAGCCTATGGGGAGCCCTTTTCAGCAAAAGAAAGGGGGCTGCATTCCATGCTGGAGCAGTTCCTGGGGGCCCGGTTCCAGTGGTGGGGAGAGTCCAATGCAAAGAGCGTGAGGCCAGATTCCATATCGATCTGCTTGCCTCTCTGTTATATTTATATTCCAACTATTTTCATTTCAAGTTACTCAAGCTGGCTTAAAACAATTCTCCTCCTCCTCTCAACCTTATCCTCACAGCAACCCTGTGAGGTAGGTTAAACTGAGGGACTGCTATGGGGCCAAGGTACCAGGTGAGCTCCCTGAGTCAGTGGGGACTAGAACCCAGAGCTCCTGGATCCGTCTGTCTGTCTGTCTGTCTGTCTGTCTGTCTGTCTCTCAATCATCTCAACATTTTGTAACCCAAACATCTTACCTACATACCCATAAATAAACTTTAGGAGGCTTTTCAACCTTTTAGAGCAGCAGGGGGAAGACAAGCAAAAGCCGGAAAGTTAAGACGCTATTACCGGCTGGGCACTGGGAAGGGGTGCGGCCCTTACAAGAACCCCCAGAGGGCAGGATTTGGCCTTAGCCACTGACTGCATGAGTCAGGCATGGGTGCTTAGCTGGGTGCTTAGGGCCAAATTAAGCCTGATATTCATTAAGGAAGCAGCAGGGTCTGGCCAGATCGTGCCAGGCCCTGTGATGGAATGGCTGGGAGTCCCCCAGCTGTGACAAGTGCCTCCATTCTGAGCTTGCGTCAGGCTGCTTCAAAGGCTGTGTGATCCAAAGCACTGTCGCCGGATTGCAGTGACCACAGCGACTTGATTTTGCTCCTTCCTGGCACCATGAGCTCCAGAGTCTCAGGAGCCAGATGGGAAGAGATCCATGAGCAAGTGAGCAAGCAAGCGAGGGAGTGAGCAAGAGGGCAGTTTCTGTAATGGATCCCGGTGGAGAAGAATGCTTGGCAGGTGGTGTCTGCCTAGCAGAATGCTGCCTATAAGGAGAGATCCCATTTCTAGCTCCTGCTTAAAGGGGATTCTGATCGAGAGGGTCAAGACAACACTGGCTTTTATGGGTACCCCAGGAATCTGTTCCTCTGCTTGGTCACCGTCTAGCGTAATGATGGAAGCAAGACAGAGCTGTACTGGGGCGGAGAGAGTGAAGCGGACAGGTATGGCCCTTCTCCTAGTTATGAAAGAGCTGGCGGAAGAACTCCCAGAACCACTTTCTATCATCTTTAAGAATTCATGGAAGACGGGGAAGTGCTGGATGACTGGAGAAGGGCTAATGTTGCCCCCAACTACAAGAGAGGCGAAAAAATGAACCCGGGAAGTAAAGACCAGTCAGCCTGACATCAATCCCTGGAGAAACTCTAGAGCAAGCAAACAGTCTGCAAACACCTTGGAGATAATGCAGTAATTACTGCATTAATTACTTACTCCCTGGAAACCTATATCCTGCCAGACTAATCTAATTTCAGTTTTTTGACTGGGTAACCTCCCCAATGGGCTGTGGAAAGGCTGTAGATATAGTCTATCTTGACTTTAGCAACGCCTTGACAATGCCCCACAACATCTTGATTACCAAACTATAAGAAGTGGGCTAGATAGCATAACTGTCCCAAGCCTCTCCCCTCTCACCGCCCCCACCCCCCCGCCTGGATGCTATCAGGGACTTTGGGGGAGGTGGGGACTGGAATCCTTCTGTTATCCGGGAAACCAGCAGCCCGTAAATAAAACCCATTCCACGGTCTGGCTGCAGGCCAAGCATGTCTGACTCAAGGGCAATTATGCCCACTGGTTTTATTTGCCAAGGTCCATATGTTTCCTCTGTATGCACAGTTCTTCTTTCTATGGAGATGGGTGCATGTGTCTGGGGGTTAATCTCAGAGCCCCGTGCTGGTGTGGCTGGGTAATGGTATACCCTGCATTATATGGTTTTCTGCACGGCGGTAGTGTTTGTTACTCCGCTTGACCGTGCCTTGCTCCACTTCCCGCAAGAAAGGTCTGCTGCGTGTGTCTCCTACATTTGTGGCCTTTTATCTAAGGGCCAGAGAAGCTCCGACTCAATCCTATTACACAGCCTTTTCCTGCATGATCTCTGGGCCTCGTTTGTGCTTGCCAAGAAGTAGCCCTGTGTGAGCATTTCTCCTTCAAGAGACCAGTCAGAGGACTGTGCTGACGGTGGCGCATCTCCTCCTTCCTGCCACCACGCTTCTTCCTGGTCCTCTAGAAGGTATCTCAGGAGACACCAGGGGAGAAGTGAGACGTCTCCCTTGGTCTGTTGTGGTTGTGAGCCTGAGCTGTCAAGCTCATGCCCTGAAGTGCAGCAGAATGGATGAGGGAGCATTTCAGGAACACTTGCCTCTTGCTCCAGGGGGGCAAACTTGCTCAGCCCCACCCCCCAGAGAGTCACTGGCTCTTGCCCAAAAACAGCACCTCCAGCCAGGTGGTAACTGCTGTTCTTGCCAAGCAGCTCTCTGCTATTGGCCTTTCCCCCACAATGGGTTGTGGTTTCCCGGTTTGGAGGATGCAACAAACCATTGTGGTGCAGAGAAACCACAGAAGAGACCGTTGTTTGTTTGTGGTTTCCAAAGACCAGATGTACCATGTTAAAATACCATAATAGGGATTGGACATGGCAGATGAACAACGGTAAAAAGCACCATGGTTTGTTGTGTGGTGTGAACCCAGTCAGAGTCATGTGGGATGAATCATGGGCTGTTGCTACGTATGAAGCTTGCACTGTTGTTTAACTATGGGTTGTTAACCACAAGGAAGCCAGGAAGAGGACCCATGTGTTATGAACTCTGGGTTGTTTGTGATTAACAATTCATGATTAAACCATAGTGGAGGATTCACATATAACAATCCATGATTCAACCTACAATTAAAAAAACACTATATACCCAACTCATACTCTGGGTTGTTGTTCCATGTGAATCAGGTCCTAAGAATCATTGCTAATTATTTTCCTTGAAGGTTCTAACAGTTCAATTGCTGAGCAAATTGCTGAATGTTTGATGCAGCCATCCAAATTAGACCCTCTAGGGTTGTTTCATGATTCTGCTTTTAAACATTCTATATTTTCCGGAGCACATTTGATTGTTGCATATTTTAATTCAGTTGGCTTCTGAATGGAAGACCATAAACAAGACAACTGTCACTATTATGGCACACTTACTTTAAAACGTGCTAGGCCAGCCCCACTGCAGTGTGTGTGTGTGTGTGTGTGTGTGTGTGTGTGTCTGTGTTGGAGGGGTGCTCTTGACAGGGACACCCTGGGCTTCTTTTCTAAAGTCCACCCTTTAGACTGACCAAAACACTTGTAGACGATCTTGAGAACCATGTTCTGAAGGTTCATAATACTTACTGGATTTTCTTGGTGAAGTTCTTAGAAACTATTCCTCCTTCGACCTGTTGTTCTTCATGTTTACCTGCCAGGAAGAAGAAAGGGGGACAAATGTAAGAGACGTTTCCAACCACTCCTTCCTCCCATTCTACCTGCATTAAGAATTTTATATGTTTATAGGCCATAAAGCCTATATCATTAGAGCACCTTCCTTTCTCCTTGATACCCAAACGTTGTTGGAGGGCAGAGGTCTAAATCCTGGGTTACAACACTATTTGGGAATAAAGTTCATTGGGTGCTTTCAGGCGAGGCATTGATCTAGTTCTCTGAGGCATTCGAGCCATGTGAGTTGCTTAAGATTGCAGATGGAGCTCAGAAGAGGGCATGCTTCTCCAACCAAATACGACAACAAAGAATATATGCACGGAAGGAACTGGCTTGTCAGGGGGACAAAGTTGGACCTTGTTTCCTGACCTGCTGCTTTTCTACGGACAGGGAATCTTTGTATCACAAGGGGATATTCTAACATTCATTGGCTGTAGGATACAGCCAGGACAGTGACTGGCCTTCTAGAAGAAATAGGTCATGCATTGCTGTAAAGATAAGGTGGAATATAACCTGCTCTCCTCTGCCCTGAAGGAATTCAAGATAACTGCGTGCTGTAACTTAGTAAATGTGGATTTTACTGCTATGCTTATGCAGCTGCCTACAGTGATTTTCGGTCTGACCGGTTTGTTGATCTGGATGGTTTGCTTTCATTATTTGGTGCTTCGTTCAGAGCCAATTTGCAGTGATGTCACAACTCTCGCCAAAACCACGTGTCAGATCGTACCTCTGTGGTCAGGAGGGTCTCGCTCGGCAGAGTGAGTTCCTAGGAACAGATGCTCCCTGATCCAGCTCAAGAAACCCCCGGAAAACCCGCACAGGATGACCTGCTCTGGCAAGAGCGGGCCCACAATCTCCCTGCAGGGTAGGCAGGCAGACTCTGGTTCGCACCGCGCTGGCATCTGGGTGTGCCGGCTATGAAGAGTCTGTCTGTAGCCTGATAAAGAGCTGCGATGCCATGGGGGGGGGGGCCCTCTGGCAATGCCACAGGGGTGGCTCTGGAGAAACAGCTGAGAGAAAGGAAACCTGAGCTCTTGGAATGAGCCACTCTATTTGTGGGCAGAGGAATTGAGGCACTGCGTTCCACTGATTCCTCCGGGGAGGCATCTTCAGTCCCCACCTAGAATGCGGCCCCAGAGCCTGCCAAGGCAGAACTCAGCACTTGTTCGCACCCCTGGAGTTTTCCAGTTGTCCAGGCAGTCTTTTCAAGCCCAGCCCAGAAAAGCCAGAAATTAAACCCGGCACCTTCTGCACTGCATGGCTCTCAAGCGGTCTCTGCAGCCCAGGGTTACTTCTCCATTTTGCACAGCACCCCTGGGCAGAGTGCAGGGAGACCAAAAGGTACTCTGCATGTGCTCAGAGGCTCTTTGACTTCTTTTCAAGGAAAGCTTCTTTCACAGCTTCTTTTTAAGGAAAAGGGGATGGACCAGGCTTAGGCAGAGAGGGCCCCAGGCCTTGATACCAGAATATTTTCAGGGAGACGCAATGATCCTATTAAGGAGTAAATGTCTGAGGCAGCCCTACAGCCTGTCAAAACTGGCTTTCCTTTGGCAGCTCGCAGCTGGTGGAGAACTGCAGTGATGTGTAGCTCAAGATGAGGCAGGCAGAACTTCCGAGGAGGTTCCAAAGCAAGAGCAAGGAGGTCTTACTGTGCATGTGCTTTTTTCCCCTTCCTAAGGCAGTATGGCAGCCCCAAAGCTCACCACCATGTGGACGAGCATCTGCCCAAAGCTCACTCAGCAGCAGCAGCAACTGCAAGCAAGCCAGAGAAGTTTCCGTAAATCCTGAAAAAACGGCTGTGGAACTGACTCCAGATGGGACTGGACTGTAATTCCAGTATGTATGTTTTTATCTGTGTTAGCATTTGTAAGTTGCCCAGAGAACCTTGGCATTATGGGACAGCATAGACATGGAGATAAGTAAGTAAGTAAATCCCGTATTCTGGATCTTTCCCAGTGCCAGCTGGGGCAGATGGGGCTTGAAATCCAAAAGCTCCAAAGGGCACCAGGTGTGGAAATACTACAACTTCTGGACTGTTTACAGACATTATCTTGGGTGGATGGGCAGCTCTCAGGACTATTCCAGGTGTGTGTGCTGACAAAGGTAACCTCAAAGAGCTTCGGGTCTCTTTAGGGTCTTGAGGAACAGCCTTCCCAGGGTGGCGTGCTTGGCACCCTCGTTACTTAACTTCCACTGCCAGCTAAAGAGGTTTTTATTTAACACGTCTTTTTAGTAGTTGTTTTGAGTTTGTTACATTATTAGTGCTGCATGTTTCCTGCATATTATATTCTCCTGTCTTGTCTTTTAGAGTATTTGGCTTTTACACTGACTTGATAGTTTTATTCTGTTTTATGGTTTTATTGATTTATGCTGATGGTTTTCACTCTGAGCTGCCCGGGGGCAGCATACAAATGTAATAAATAATAAACAATAATACAAATAATGGAGAGAATGGGCAGCCACAGGTGCCAAAATGCTATGCAAGAGGCTCTTCAAGGGAAACTGTTTCCTGTCTGTTTGCAGGAAGCTCAGGTTGGTGGGCATGTCATGAGTGGAGCCGGCTGGAGCCAGGGGTCAGACTAGATGTCCCAGGAGACCCCTTCTGACTCATTCTGCTTCTGTGTTCACCTTCACCAATGGATTGCAGTACACCTGGAGTGCACCACGTTGGGGAAGGCTGATGACCATGCACCATTCTGTGGCCCAGTTCTAGTTTCATCTTTTTTTTGTTTTGTTTTACAGAGAGCTATACTGTAAAGATTTCACTTATGCTGCCTTGAGTACCTTTCAACCAAAAGTGAGTATGGAAATCATTTAAGGGAACACTCCTATGCCTGTTGAGACAGAAAAAGGAAATCCTTCAACTCAGCCTACTCTGCCAGTGTGGGGTGGACTACAGTTCCCATACTCCCCCAGCTAGCTCTGATAGGGGATTCTGTAAGCTGTAGTCTGCCTGAGTGGGAGTACTGAGAGAAAGGGTGGCTACAAACAAGCCCCATAAATGTTTGCTTCAAAAGAAAACCCTCTTAAAAACGCAGCTTTGCATCCTTGCTGGGTTATCAGTCAATTAAATAATTTTTAGTCAATCAGCCCCGAGGCTCTCACCTGATCAATCTATGCATTATTCCTTTGCTTCTGGTTTTATCTTAGCTTTGTTACATGCTGTTTTTTATCTTTCCTTTTAATGTTTTTATTTTGTGTTTGTAATGTATTGCAAACCACCCAGAGGGTAGTTTTTAAAGTAAAATAATTAAATAAATAATCTGAATGGCCTGCTTTAAATTATTTTAGGCATTATTAAAAAAAAATCAAGTTAGGTACTTCACAGAGAAGGTAAATGCTGTCTCAGGCTGCCACTGCATACATCCTTATATAGGAGTAAATTCCACTCATCCCTGTGAGATTTACTTCCAAGTAATCATGCATAGGACTGAGCGCCATGGTCATTTACAATTTCATATGAAGATCCATTTCTAGAAAGAAAGCTTAATCATTTCCATATCATTCCTTATCACAGCAGCACCCAAAGAAACAGAACTAAGTCTGTAACTTAGTCCCACCAATTGATGTTTCCCCCAACAATTAATCCACTGATGCTCTAGGTGATTAATCTGTTGATCAAACCAAGCAAGGTTTGTAGCCCTGCTGTTTTGCACTTTGGTTTTAAGCACACCCAAGAAATTTGCTAATCTGAGCCATGTCCACCCTGCCTTGAAATCTGAGATGCCATTGCTCCGGTGGCAGCGCTCACCTGACACTTCCACGTAACCATCCTTGGTTTTCACTGTCAGTTCCTCGGGTTTGAAGTTCTGTACGTTGACGCATACCTTCCAGGGTTCCCCGGTGAAGGCGGGAGGGCTGGCCCCATACATTGCTTCTTCTGGGTACCCCCCGAATCTGGTGCCGTAACCTGGGGGGGAAAGGCCGCCGGCTCGGGAAATCCCCGACCGCAGTGGGCCTGGCCATCCAGAGCTTAGCCGTGAGCGGGCCCAATCCGGCCAGGCGGCAGTCAGGTCTCCGGGAAAGGGGGACATCCCAAAGTCATCGTCCAAAAGTCGGGAGGACAAGCTGGATTCCCTGAAGGGGTCTCGAAGGGTTCGGTGCCGGCCAGGAAAATGGGACGAAAAAGGTATCTGGCTGTCAGCCATGATCTTCTTTGTAGCTGGAACTGACAGCAAAAACACTAAGAAAAGAAGAAAAATCCAAGAGAAAGCTCGGTTAAGGTCTGTTCTGCACGCCAAATGTCACTTAACGGACGTCCAAAGGTGAGTTTTGTCCACTCCACCAGCAAACCGATGGCAGGATTCAAATTTCAGCTTCAAGGTTTTGCTCGGATACCAGCTCCTCTGCTTAACCCCCGCCAACAAACCAAAGCTCCTTTCCCCCTCCAAGACGAAACAAAAAAGACACGGAGGCAAAAAGTCCCTGCGAAACAAAACAAGGCAAAAACAACACAGAATTGAAAAATCAACCCAAGCGAACAGATGGCTCCGGTTTGCTTGAGGGAGAAATTCCTCTGCCGAAGGATTAAGAATAAATATACACTTGTTCGAGTTGCTCTCCTGATGAAAACCTCCCCTCCTGTTCCTAAACCAGAGCTTAAATAAGCCTTCCTCGTGAGAGTCGAGAAACTTCTTCAAAGTTCCCAGCGGTTGCAGGCTCCCTATTTATATACACTCTGGCGGAGCAGAGCCGTGGTGGGTTGCGGTTCGCACCGCCCTGTGAGTGGTATTTTTGGAGAAGATGAAACACCCCTGGGGAATCTGGCCAGAAACAGCTGACCTCACCCTGATGGGACAGGCATTCCCAGATGGAGATCCAAGTTTGGCAGCCTGACTCATTTGCCCCTCCCTCCCTCTCCTGCCTCCCTCCCTCTCCTGCCTCCCTTTCTACAGGCAGCCGGCTAGACCATTCCTGGTTTCTCTCCCTTCTGCAGGCCTCGGAATAATTGGTTGGTTGGTTGATGAATTGATTGGTTGGCTGATCGATTTCACGGCAATCAAAGCCATACAATGCGATGTGAAACACACAGTAAAAATCCCACTGTTGAAAACGGTGGGAGAAAACAGAAGGAAAAGTCTAAGGGAAACGTTGCCGCAAGGAAAGGCTTACAGGAAAGGAATGAAAACAAAGAATCCTGAAAGACTCATTCCTTGGAAAATAAAACATCCTTTGCCAGGTGCTGAAAAGGGCCCAACGGAAGTGTTGGGCGACCCTTTCGGGGAAGCTCATGACAATTGTAGTAGCCGTCCACTTGCGATTATGTGGCATCTTACGCACAAAAAGAAGGACTGCATTGGGCCACCCAGAATTGTCAGCAGCGGCATCACTGCCCAGGTAGAGAAAGGTTGCGGCCGCCCAGAAAGGCAGGTAGCGAGTGTTAAACCTGCCACCTGTGACCTGGCGCCCTTTGGATGCTTTGGACAAGTCCCTGCATGCGTGAGCTTTGGCAGGCTGGAGGGGTCAGGCGTGGTCCGACTGGGAGTCCAAGACATCTGGGGGCCACCAGTCTTAGGCCCTGGTGCTAATGCAGCACCCCCACCTCGGATGGCCATGCGCATCGCTCCACCTGAACTGCACACGGAGCATTTCTCATCCCCCCCCCCCCGCCCAAATCACCCTCCCAGACCATATAACTTCTGCTACATCCTTGATATGTTAAAGCAACAGCCACAACTGTTTGCCAACCATATCATAATCATATGGTTTCGATATAAATATATTTCAGCAGCAAGTTAAAACTTTTTTATGTAGTATCTGATTTAGATTGGATTATTAGTTTGCTGTTGGTTCATTGTTTTATTGGTTGTTGTTATTGGTTATATTGCATTTATTTTCATCCTGTTCCTATTGTTGAAGTTTACCTTGCATTTTAATTCTACTATGTTTTATGGCTTGTGTGTTATTGTTATTTATTGTGTGTACAGAGTGTGCTGTGAGCCTCCCAAAGAGTCTCTGCTATGGGGCAGCACAGAAATGTGGTAAACAAATAAATATAAATTATCATATAATTAGTTATTTTTAATATAATCATAAGCTAGTGCAGTGTATTGGTGAAAGTGCTAGACTGGGGCTTGGGGGATCCAATCCCCGCTCAGCCATGAAGCTCACGGAGTGACTTTGGGCCAGCCCCAGACTCTCAGCCTAACCTACCTCGCAGGGTTGCTGTGATGATAATGAGGAGGAGGAGCATTACGGAAGCCACCTTGGGTTCCTTGCAGGAAAAAAGGCAGGGTAAATTATTACTCTTGAACCCTGAGCTTGTGCAGTTCCGTATTTTAAAGTCACTTAAACCACTGCACCATCTCCCAGGTGTGCCCTCAAGAATCGGCGTTCTGGTGGTGAGATTGCTCAACTGGGGATCTGGGAGATCGGGGTTCTAGTCCCCACTCAGCCTTTGGGCCAGTCAGACTCTCAGCCCAACCTACCTCACAGGGTTGTTGTTGCTTGGATAAAAATGGAGCTGTGCAAGCTGACTTGGGCTTCCTAACGAGTGGAAAAAAGGCAGAATATAAATGTCATGTGACAAGAACCATAATCCTTATAATCAGAGCTTGCTGGTCTCTGGATGCTCATTTAGAAACATAGAAACGTAGAAACAGAGTGAGTCAGAAGGGGCCTCCCGGGCCATCTAGTCTGACCTTCGGCACCAGTTTAGGGAGCCTCTGGCCTGTGAGACCCTCAGATTCAGCTCTAGCAACAACACTGGCCCCATCATCCCCTGTCATTTACCTGGAGATGGTGGGATTCAACTCTGAATCTTTTGCATGTGAACACACACACGCTTCATAACGGGAGGAACATACGCAGCTGCCTAAGTTCAGCGCGGCATTGTCTGCCCCAGGGCCACAGGACCGTTTTTCTACCAAGGGCTGTTGACCCACAGAAAAATCCCAATGGGGGCCACACAGGCCTAAAAAGAGGGGTGCTTTCAGCATCACGATCTGGGCCACCCAAGCCGAAAGAGTCTTTCCGTGTCATGACCTGCCTTGCCAGAGTCATTTGGTTGCTCAAGTTCCTTCCAGGGCACATCGAACTTGGCTGATAAGAACCTAAGGAAGGGCCTCACTGAATGAGACCAAAAGGCCATCTAACCCAAGCTGTTGTTTCCAACAGAGGACAGCTCACAAGGGTAACATGAAGGCAAGAACTCTCCCCTCCATTTGCACCCCCAGCCACTGAAACATGGCAGTTTCAGAGGTAACAGCCTTGGACAGAACTAGCCTTTATGATCTTAAGAAAAAAATAATCCAAGCAGCTGGCCATCACCTCATCTTGTGGCAGTGAGTTTCACAGGTTAATTACAGATTGTAATGCAGCACAAAACTAGGTGGGGCATTGGGGATGCTTGCCCTGGGTGCAGCTCCCCCAGGGACAACAGGCATTAAAACTGATGCACAATGATGTGGTTGCATCATGGTTTTTTTTCCATGATGGAATAATTTATTGAGGGGCAGTGTTGTCTAGTGGCTAAAGTAACTGAGGTGAGAGACCCCGGTTCAAATCCCCACCCGCCAGAAGCTGCCTGCAGCAGACCTTTGGTCCATCCTGTGAAGTATTGTCTCTCCTATCCTGGCCTATCCTATTCAGAAGTTTAAAACAGCAATATAAAATAGATGTAAAGGCCAAAGGAAAACTTAGAAACAAAGCAAAGATTACTGCCAAGGATTAAAAACACAAGAAATGGAAAGACATTCCTAGAAAAATCAGGAGGTCTTTGAAAGTAGAGTTGGGGCCTTCTGGAGATGTCAGGTATCGCTGGGTCTGGGGGCTTCTTTGCATGAAAAGCACCTGCTGCTCTCCTGAGGTATGGCCCAGCTCCAAAAGATTTATCAACAAAGGAAATGAAAGCAGGAAAAACAGATCATGCAAACTCCAACAGCCACACTCCAAAACTAACAACATATGGATAGACTAGCAACAAAATAGACATTTCAGCTTCCACATTTCAGCTTCCTCCTCCATCAGGAGCAGTGTTCCTATTCCTGTTCTTTCTGGAGGCCTGGATTCACAGGCCTGCCCAGCTACGATATTGACTTCTGTGCACCAGCTTTCCTAGCAATGGGAGGCAGTGTGGCATAGTGGTTAAGAGTGCTGGACTAGGACTCAGAAGATCTGGGTTCTAGTCCCCATGAAAGCCACCAGGTGACTTGGGGTAATCTGCAGACTCTCAGGCCAGCCTACCCCACAGGGTTGCTGTTGAGGAGAACATGGAGAGAAGGTGAACCTTGTAAGCTGCCTCTGCTTCTCTGCAAGAGGAAGAAAGGCAGAACAGAAATGCAAAGCAGTGCAGTAACAGTAACAGCAGGCCAGACCTTTCCCTCAACTGCCTCCTCATCCTCAGATGTACATCTGGGCTCAGGCAGGTCTGATCGCGATGCTGTGAGGCAGGCTAGGCTGAGGGGTCATGACAGGCGTAAAGGCGCCCACTCAGCTCCACAGGGAACAGATCTCGGATCACTTGAGTCGCAGTCCGACGCTTTTGTCGAACATGCACAGAAAATTAATCTAGATAAACAGGCTTTGTCGAAGGGAGAGGTCTAATACACTCCTAAGGCCGGGAGGCCCTGGAAGGCAGCCATGCCGAAAGCTAAAAGGAGAAGCTGAAATAACACCCTGACTCAGCCCATTGAGTGAACAAGCTTTAATCGCGAGGCTACGCGGAGGCTCAGGCTTGTATTCACTCTGCCTATCATCGCATATGAGGTAATTATCGTTTGTAGCAAGGAATTCGACACTCCCAAGCTTGGGTTGAGTCTTGGAGTCGCAGCTCCAAATGCACAAAAGCTCAGGCTCGGCCGCGGTGCAAAACCCATGTGGCAGGCCGTGGGCCAGGAAGCCAGCCCGTGCTGGGATCCTGTGGCGGCGAGCTGGTGGCCCACGGCATGAACAGAATGCTGAACAGACCTGGATCTGGCCCAGCATGACATTTCTCATGGGCTTAAGCCCTCTGGTCAAATTTCAGCTCTGTTTTGAGTTCACGGCAGCTGTCCTGTTCATTACCTCGCTAACCTGTTCTTTCATGCATATAATGTGGGGAGGGTGAAGGCCAGATTGTATTGATCATTGAATAAACAAGCGCAGGGCCAGGAGGCTGGTGGCCGGTTTGCAGGGGGTGGGGTGTGAGGCGAGACGGAGGGAACTGGGCCTCTTCAGCCTGGAGAAGAGGAGACTCCGAGGGGATCTGTTGGTGACATACAGGTATGTGAGGGGGTGTCACACGGAGGTGGGGAGAGACCTGTTCTCCCCTGCAGAGGAAGGCAGGACATGCTCCAACCAAGCCAAGTTCAAGGAACCAAGCTTCCATTTGGATGCCAGGAAGTGCTTCCTGACAGTTAGGACCCCAGGGGTGTGGAATGGGCTTCCACCGGAGGTGGCTCAGGCCCCATCGGTGAGGGTGTTCAGGGATAGGCTAGGCATGCGCATGGTAGGCATGTCATGAGTGGAGCTGCTGGAGCCAGGGGTCAGCCTAGATGGCCCAGGAGACCCCTTCTGACTCACTATGTTTCTATAGAATCTCTCAGAGGCTCACATATATTTTTAAAAATCAGATATCAATGCACAATTAAAAGTAAATTCAACATCAAAAAGGCTGTGCACATGAAGGGCTAGGAACACCCCATCAAATGAGCTAATGCTGGTGA